GCTTTCTCCGGGAACATATGTGGGGTGGTGGCATCCAAGATGCTTGCCAGCCTTTTGTGCAGCCTTTTGAATGACTTCCTTCGCCACATATTCGGCATGCCTTTCAGTGATCTCCAACATGTCTCTGGCAACGAACGCAGTAGACATGTACTGCTTAATATCCGGTCCCTCTTGTGTTTCTTCGGCAAGCTTACAGGATGCGCCAAAGGCGTGTTGCATGGACCAAAGTCTACCAAGGGCTGCATCCGAGCTTCCAACAAGGCCCTCGGTCTCTTCCCTCAAACTCCAAGAGAACGCAGAAGGCTGATTTGGCATGCATCGAGCGACTGGCTCTGTCCAACCAATTCCACGAGGGTCGAAGCCGATGATGTCGAAGTATCTTGCGTCAGGCGATGGGGTGAAAGTCTCAACGTTAGAGTCTATGATCTGTTGTAGCCCTCCTGCTAAGAAGAGCGCAACTGATGTACCTGATCCTCCGGGTCCGCCAGGGTTGAACAAGACCGGGCCACCATACCGGGGATCATCTACGGATACTTTGGCGGGTAGCTTGACGATAGCGATGCTCACAGTATGATCAGGGTAAGTCCCGTTGAAGTAGTCCAGTGGCAGGCTCAGTTTTGCGCATTCAAATTGGCCAAAGCATTTGTGGAATTCTAGATGCTCACTCGGTGTGATCTGGAGCTTGGTCAGTCTTGCATCCACCAGTCGATATTATGATGCTGAAGCAGGCTTGTTAGACTAGATTGTAGAGAGCTGCGGTTCGCTTATGTTGATACAATGCTGGGACTTGGGTCCGAGCGACATGCTGGTGAACCGGAATGGGATCTGGTCAGGCCACCAATCACGATCAGATTTTTCATTGAGCCTTTTGATGACGAAGGTCGTCTGTGGTGCTCCGGCATGCGCCCAAGACATCTCCCGGAAGTAGAGTAACCACCTGCTGTGCGACTTGGATCGAGGCTATCATTCGATCTGATAAGATGCGGGCCAGGGTGGCTGCAGAACCACGTGTGCGGTGCGACGCTCAGGGAACACTCTCTCAACATACCTCGGACCACTCAAAGGCAGCATCATGCAACGCAGGCTCAATGTCTAGAAATGAGGACAGATCCCAGTTCTTCAATTCAGGGAAGATGGTATCCACTGCCGCGAGGCACACGAGTGTGACGAAGGTCGCAGAAAGCAGTGCACGCCACCGCGTCGGGGTCCGTCCAGGCTTGACCGGCGCCGTCGCATCCTCCAGCCCGTTCCAACTCTTCATGATGTACTCGAAGTCGTTCCAGCCGGCTGAAGAACAAGCAAAATAAATGCGATGAAGTATTGGATATCCGCGAGTCGTTGAACAGTAGAAGACGGGTGTGGAGGGGTCGTCTGTCAGCGTGCATCCTCAGCCCAAGACATTCGACGTCGCATCCTGGCGCCTGACGCCAAAAGTGAAGATCACCTCAGGCAGCAGCAAAGCACTCGAGGATGCGGAAGTGTGTGCGCGAGGACTATACAAAACGCAGCACGGAGTGCGCCTGACTCCCCGCAGATAGCCCAGCTATCGCTTGCAGAAACCTGCCTTTCTACTCTGCGTTGGTGCTGCAGCTGCAGCAGGACTGGTCGGCGGCTATGTATGCAATATGCAGATGTGGTCACAATGCGCTGCCTTGGCTGCTGAATTTTCCATGTGCAGAAAGCGAGACTAGTGCGTGCGATTAAGTAATGGGTTAGTTGCCGTCGAGATTATCCATGTGTTGGGTGGTGAGGAGAATTGGCATCGCCACGAACCTGCGTCTTGTGGAGGGACCCGTTAGAGACCGCAGAGCCTCATCGCAACAGCGGTAATGTGATCTCATTGATCCTCAGGAAGAAGGCATCGGTCTGGCTGTTGTACCTGTTTGCGAGGCGAATGTGAGTGAGCATGCTTGCTTTTGGAATGCGGTGTAATCTGCTTTTTGCTGACATGTCTGTTGGTAGAGTTCAAGGTTACATTGGAATGACACAGCTTTTGGGTAGGTAGCAAGCCACCATGACTACGAAGAGCCCGTAAGGAAAGTGCACAAAGAACGGAAACCCTCATAGCGCGACAAGTACAGAGTAGCAGCACCTCCTGATTCAATGGGTATCTCATCTCTCAGTACCAACCACCTCTACTGCCATTAAACATGATATGAAACGTCCATGTGAATGATGATGCTCATTCGAGGAGGAGCAGTGTCGGCTAACGTCCAAAAGATCTCCATCGTGTAAAACCAGCTCCAATCCCAAGAGCGTTCTTGCCCTCAACTAGAAAGCTCGTACCTTTGGTCATTCTGAGAGCACAGGACTGTAGGACGTGGGTCCGCCGAGGTGTTTACCACTGCTGGCCACCACCTTGGCCACCCTCTTGACCACCACCGTAACCGCCCTGGCCGCCGCCCTGACCGCCACCGTAGCCGCCGCGAGACTGGTATCCGCCGCCGCCGCCGCCGCCTTGAGAAGGTCCCCAAGAGCCGCCGCCCTGACCGCCGCCGCCGTAGCCTTTTTACCAAGTTAGTTTCTCACTGTGAATAGAACGGTGACATGTGCTTACCACGGTCGCCACCACCGTAGCCTGGGGATATAGTTAGTATAGAACCGCAATGGGTAGGCTGAGTGAAGCTTACCTCCTCCTTGACCACCGCCGTAACCTCCACGGTATCCGCCGCCACCGCCTCCGTAGCCGCCGCCGCGAGGAGCACCACCGCCAGCGCGGTCGGAGGCCTTGTCAACGCGAATCCTACGTCCGTCGAATCTGGGAGAATCAGCAGTGCCCACTGTTGGATGGTACGTAAAGGCAGAAGAGACGTACTCCTCGTTGTTCATGGCCTGCATAGCGGCATCGGCCTCGGTGTCCTGGGCATAGCGAACAAAGCCAAAGCCTCGGCTGCGGCCAGTATCGCGGTCCTTAACCACGACCTGTGACGATGTGAGCATGGACTCGACCTTGGCGACGACATTCGTCGAGTAGCGTGTCACTTACGGCTTCTTCGACTTGACCGAACTCCTCGAACTTTTGACGAAGAGCTTGGTCGTCGGTGTGCCATGCGAGGCCTCTGTGAAGGGTCAGTCGCGGTTGCGGTATGGGAAGGCTGCGTACTTACCCAATGAAGAGCTTAGACATGGTGAGAGTGATGTCTGGGTCGAACACTGAACGGTCTCAATACTAGCTCTCGCAACTCGAAACAAGGCGCGCGATACAAAGAAGCTCAAGACAGGTAGTGACAGGAGTTGTAGAGTGAAGGAAAAGTGCAGGAAGGCGAGGAATCCATCGCGGCTTCCCGGGCAGGCAGTATGTAGCAACGTGACGGAACGAACATTTGATCTTGTAGCACCAGGCTGTATTGGTGATGATGGCGCAAGCGATTGCTCTGAAGAGTTAGAGGAGGGAGAGTCGGCTGCAGGCTGTCGCAAGAAAGTGATGGCACAGGGTGAGGAGCAGAGATAGTGAAGCGTCTAGGTTGGCGGGGCAAGCGACGATATGAGTACCCCTCCACCAGGTGAAAGAGCGCTAGGCTGCAAGCAAGTAATAGGTTGCGCGCACGGACTGGAGGGCTGAGGGCCCGGTTTATAAAGCGACGTGGATGGCCACGAGCGACGGGGTGCAATGTGTCTCTCCAGCCAGTCGAGCCAGTCAAGCCAAGGGGTCTGGTAGTTCGGACCTGGGCTGCAGGCAGGCAAACGGAACTGGCCCCTCGCAGCTAGCCGGTCCCAATGCCTTGTCTAGGAGCCCGCACCTGACGATGGACAGGGTGCAGATGCTGGTTCTGCCATACATGTCGGCTGGCTGGCTCCCTAGCCTGTCCCGTGTCTGTCTGTTCATGCTGGGTATATGCAGCCCACGTTAGCCTGAGACCGGGGAGGCCCAATTGCAGGGCCCTTGACGAGCCAGAGAAAACGATTTTTTTGATAGGTGCATCGATCCATCGTCCTGCTCAGAGTGCCGGCAGGAGTGCGGCGGCGTCATTGGGCCACTGCGAAATACGTGCATGGACAAGCCTGCGGATAGACAGATTGCGTGCTCGAGACAGCAGCGATCTGCGCCTGTGGCTACAGCAAGACTATCGGGCTGTGACGAAAAGGTCAATGGCGGACAGGTATTGGACAGAAGATGGTGGTTCAAAGAAGCTTATCAAAGTCGCCATCCTTAGTCTGACGGTGTGGGGATCGGGTCTAACTAACTTCCAGGCCCTCCAGGGCTCTGCATCCCGAACTGGCTCGTGCGCGCGACGTCAAGATGTAGCAAGCTGAGCGTGCTTAATGAGACGACTGCTCGCACCTATACGACCGAAGTCCATCGCGCTGAGACAGGTCAGAATGCCCCATTAATCACATACTACACAGTCGTCACCATCGGATACAGAAAGCGGGCAATTCGGCAGCATTTACCGAGATATACCGAGGCAGCGCGGACTGAACCGATCCATCTGTGTTCATTCTGCGTATCTCCAAGCAAGTCGGCGACGAGAAGCTATCGCAGCCACTTCCCTGTGATAGCGGCACAGCGCATGCGGCAGCACGATGCACGGTGCCAAGACGTCTCGCTCTCGGGGACCGATTCTATGGCAATACCATCCATCCAATGATATGAGCATCTTGCAGCCCGAATAGAAGTAAGGAGAGGAACAGACACGACAGACATGGTCTCATTTCCACACCGTGAAGGTTGAAGGGTTGACGATGCACTGGCGTCATCAATGCATCGTGCCTTCCTCCAGCAATGCAGTGGCTTCGGCGATGCCGGCAGCCTCACAATGGCAGCACCCATTGCACCTGCCATCACTCTGTCTAGCTATCTGACTTAGCCTATCAGGTAGCTGCAACATCCAGATGAGACCTTGTCACCTTGAACGCCTCCCAGATTACCGTCACACAAGCAACTGAGCGACTATCACGACGATCTGCTGTCAGGCCCCCTCGAGCATCTCAGACCCACCAGACTTGCGAGGCGAGCCAGACTCCATTAACGGCACGGCTCGTCTAGGATGCAGGACAGCATGGACATACGAAAGTGGCTAGACGAGACAGTGCAACCGGAAGCACCGCGCGAGCCCAATAACCTTCATCAGACCGCAGAGCCTGCTAAACGGAAGCGCCGCCGCAGATCAGACAGCTCCCTCCTCGATCCCCGTCCACTTGCATCCTCTCCGCATAAGCCAGCGGAGGATAGTGCTGACGAGGCGCTCCAGGCGACATGCAGCGACAGCTCTAGCAGCAGCCGATATGCGCGCAAACCTCGTAGAAAGACGCGTCCAGAGCGGTATGAGCCACAGTATGCGCCAGGTCCCCATGCCCATCGCGATCGTAAGGACAAATCAAAGAAGTCGCGACGCAAGCCTCGACGCAAGAAGGGCGAGAAGGCACCTGGTGTTATGCCGACCTTCCAGGCCACGAACATATCTGGAGATCGGCTGACCGTAAGATGTCTATGCAGTCGCCTGGAACATACAGTATGGTGTTGACGATTGGACTAGTTGAAGCCACGCGAGCAGCTAGGTCTCTTCAACAAGGGACGGACATCTACTGCAATCAAGGGTCGCGGATGTGAGTAATTCATCACCCTTCCTACAGCCTGAATGATATCTTCCTGTACGTCTTCCCCGCATTACCCAGCTGACGTGTCGCAGTGCCCGATCTGGTCTTCTCGGAAATGAAGTTCTTGCAGCAGCACAAAGACGAACCAGAGCCTGTCCCTCGAACCGACGCGTCCAAAAAGAAACGCAAGAAGGACAATGAACAGATGAAGGAAGGAGAGATCTCCGCTTTCTTTACCTCAGCACGACCGGCATTAGTTGACAAGGACACAAACACTCTACCGCAGCTTCCTGTACCAAAAGCTAAGCGGCGTCGTCGTGATCAATCCTCGGTAGATGACACTGCTATCCCAACTGTTGAGGCTACAGGCCAAGCCTCGTATCTAGGTTTTGGAGGCAGAGGCCCTCGCCATGAAAGTAATAGCTACGTTTCCTGGTCAGAGTCAATTCGAGCGCCTAGCACGGCGCCAGCACGCCCTCACATATCTCACATACGTACCAGTTCGCGCGACCTAGACCTTCATGGTGAGTTCGAAACCAGAAATGCAAATGAGAGTAATAGCTTCAAACTACCAGCCCGGCCTCCTCCAGTGACGAAGCAAAGAACAGATAGCACGCCTGTCGAGCGCTTCAGGGTTTCGTCCTTGGCTCCGTCACATGGCAGAGCGTCGAGATCGCAGTCCTTCCCGCAGCACACTTCATCTCCGCGACGACCGAACCTCGTCGATCGATCTGCGAACGCACGCGCGGCTGACAATGTTCATTCTTCATCGTCAATGCCACCGTCTGCGCCCAAACATGCTATGGGCACGCATCGCACTCAGCTACCCAGCTCCTCGAAGAATAATCGATCAGACTCGGCTTCAGTCTCGGGGATGACTGCTCCGTCCGGGTATGGACAGGAGAACCCGCATAGCGAATACAGTCCTGCTGGAGAAGGAAGATTACCGACATCTTCTGACTTGGGGGTGGCTTTGCGGCATTGCAACGATACCTTCCACGAACGACGTCTGGCCACAGGGTCGCGGAGGAGACGCACCGAGGAGACGCACCCATCGTATCCACAGTCGAACCTGCGGCAGAGTACGAGAGACACTTATCATGCAGCTCAGCAGGGTCCCACTGTACGCTTCGCGGATCAGTCTCATGATAGACCGGTGATCCCAAATTTTGCTGGCCCGAGCATCTACGAACAACAAGCACAGCGTCAGCGATCCCATATGCAATGGGATCGCGAAGAAGAACCTCTCCAAAGTCAATACCATTTCGAAGAAAACTACCTAGACCAAGGAAATCAAATGGAATACGACGACGGGATGGAGCATGATGACGAGAACTGGGGCGGGCTTCTAGAAGAGCCCCTGTCGTGTAGCCTTGATAGTGATCCTGACATATACGGCGGTATCGAAGCACACCCCGGAACTGAGATTGAGCTGGTCCAGGATACAAGACCAGAAAACGATACGGTGGCTCCTGGATTTTGGCGGCCGAATAAACTGTACTGATGTTGAGGTGGGTGGCTGGCTGGTAGCCACATAGCGCGTTAGCGGCAACTTTCTTTTTTCGTGATTAGAAGAGGTCTGAATGGCGAGACGTGAAGCCTGCAATTATCCCAAGAAGCTCAAATGATGCGGAAAGTCATATGACTGCAATCTGATTCTCGGCAATTTGAAGAAGCTCAGAAATCGATAGCGACAAGCTGCCTCGGTGTCCGTGCATAAAAAGTTGGAGCTTCCGGTCTCCGCGCCCGTACCTTGCGGACGTTTTCTGATCCTCGGTCTGGGCTTCGCATGAGAGGAGAATCGGCTGCGCTTCCATCTGGTAGTTTACTAAACGGGTGCCATCTGCATGCTCATCCATCAATCGTTGTTGCGGCTCTGTCCCGCCCAGAGATTGATCACCCGGTCGAAGCCCCCCTTCCCTACCGCGACGGCTGTCCCATGCAGACAGTCGGCGGTGACGTTTGTCACAGTGGCGCCTTCCCAACACAGCTCCCCGCCTGCGAGCCCCACTAGTAGACCCCTCAACGACAAAATCAACTCTAGGGCTCGTCTACTTGCAGGCCATCTCAACTCCACAGCTTCTTCTTCCACAGCCATCCACACAGCTGCCACGAAGACCCCATCCACCATGTCTTACACCACCCGCAAGGTTGGCGCTGCCAACACCCTCGAGCACCGCGTCTACATCGAGAAGGACGGCCAGCTCGTCTCGCCATGGCACGACATCCCGCTCTACGCCAACGAGCAGCAGACCATCCTCAACATGGTTGTTGAGGTGCCCCGCTGGACCAACGCGAAGATGGAGGTGCGTCGGCCCCAATTGGCTGCGCCGTGGCCTGTGTACGGCTGCGCGAAACGAAAGACGCTGACTGTCGCTACAGATCTCCAAGGAGGAGCAGCTCAACCCCATCAAGCAGGACACCAAGAAGGGCAAGCTCCGCTTCGTGCGCAACTGCTTCCCCCACAAGGGCTACCTGTGGAACTACGGTGCCTTCCCTCAGGTACGCTGACGCGACCCCGACATCGGACAATACACCAATGCTGATGCTGTGCAGACTTGGGAGGACCCCAACGTTGTCCACCAGGAGACCAAGGCCAAGGGTGACAACGACCCATTGGACGTCTGCGAGATTGGCGAGCTTGTTGCCAAGCCCGGTGAGGTCATCCAGGTCAAGGTCCTCGGTGTCATGGCTCTGCTCGACGAGGGCGAGACCGACTGGAAGATCATGGTCATCAACGTCAACGACCCGTTAGCCCCCAAGCTCAACGACGTAGAGGACGTCGAGCGCCACCTGCCCGGCCTTCTCCGCGCCACAAACGAGTGGTTCCGTATCTACAAGATCCCAGACGGCAAGCCCGAGAACCAGTTCGCCTTCTCCGGCGAGTGCAAGAACAAGAAGTACGCCATGGACATTGTCCGCGAGTGTGCCGAGGCCTGGGAGAAGCTTGTCACTGGCAAGACCCCTAAGGACGAGATCAACCTGTGAGTAGTGGCCAACCTACCCCGAATGATTTGTACTGACGAAGCTCTAGCACCAACACCACCGTCTCGCACTCTCCCGACCGCACCGATGCCAGCTCGCTCAACGTTCCCCAGGGCGAGAACAAGGCACCTGCCCCCATCGATGGTAGCATCGACAAGTGGTTCTACATCTCCGGTGCCCCGTCCAACTAGATATAACGGGAGCCGTGATAAGCACAAAAGTCTGGATATCATTGGAGCATGGGAATGACTGTAGATGATAGATAAACGTGCATGATTAACGCCGACCAACGACGGTATATGGACCTATGAGGAATATCATCAATGCCTCGTCTCAGCCCAACCCAGAATATTGCCGTGACGCCGACCGATGCTGTGTCTTGATACATATGTACATTCATGTCTTGATGCCGAGCCCTTAATTGCCTGCCAACTCGTCTTTACGAGCCAGTGACCGTGAATGTCTATCCACTTCTTCGACGACTTGTGTTATGCGCATGTTGCTGAGGTCGAGGTTCATCTCCTTGCCATCCTCTACGCGGATGTTAGCGTTTGCTCAAGGTGCACCGAGAGTGTACGTACTGAACTTGACGCCCAGACTGGCAGGCTCTTTGCTGTCTCGTGGCAACATCTTGGACTCAATCTTCATGCCATCTGCGCGTGCATTCGGTGGTATTAAGGAGAGAAAGAGGCGGGCGGGCTTCGAGCGCGGGGAGAAGGGATTGAAGGTAACGCGGACGTCGGTCAGGAATCTGGTGATCATTGCGGCGGTGGAGCACGGAGGAGTCGGCGATGCAGACTATGGATTGTTAGAGGATACGTATGATGAACAGATGCGACTACTTACCAATAAGCCGTGATTCGAAAATGCGCTGTAATGGACGTCCCACGCTCGTCGCAACCTCTTCGCGATATGTCTGTGCTCAAGATTCTCTGCGGGCCACGCTACGGCTAGCCGTCCGAACACGTTGCGCTCTTCCACCCCGCCAAACGGCCCACCGTAGCCATCTCCGTCATAGGCCATCTGCATACATCGACCAAACTCTCTCCGCATTCCGAGCCACCATGGCACCTCTCCCCTCCACCACGCACACTCTCACCACCCGCCTAAGCGCCCTCTCCGAAGCCAATAAAGGTGTCGGCCAACTTATCCAACGACTAGCCAAGCTAGACTTCCAGCCAGGTTCGCAGCCACTCGACAATTCCGACGAAGGCGACGTGAGGTTGGAACTCAGTGCCGAGATACACGAGACTCTGAAGGGCATCGAGGAGGAACTTGAACTTCTGAGGCAAGAGGTCGAGGACGTTACATCACAAGGAGGCATTACAGGAAGAAGGCGGGATAGCAGCAAGGACAGCGAGAGGAGTAGACTTGCTGTACTACTTGCGAGATTGACCGAGGACCTGAAGTTGTGAGTGATACATTCCCCACCTACCGTATTCTTTGTTATGGCATGCTAACCCTACGTTCCTGCAGATCGCGATCACAATATCGGAAAGCGCAACTCACAGCCAAGCACAACGCCGACCGCGCAAAGCTCAAAGAACGCGAACTCCTCTTCTCCAACCTACAATCAGGCTCCTCGACCCCATCTTCCACATATCGCCAGAGAAAGCAACAACAAGGGCTATCGGAAGGCGAAGTCGTCGCGCAGGCTTCCTCAGACGTCACATCTGCTCTGCGCCGGACAGCCCAGTTGATGAAAGACGAGCTATCACGCTCACGATTCGCACAAGAAACACTCGAACAGACAAACGCCGCACTACAAGATCTTGGGGAGCAGTACTCAGATCTGAACACCCTACTAGCCAACAGCAAGAACTTGGTCTCGACACTCCTGAAGAGCACAAAGAGCGACACGTGGTATCTTGAGACCACCTTCTACATCCTCATAACAACTATCATCTGGCTCGTTTTCCGCCGCTGGTTATACGGACCGCTCACCTGGTTCATCATCTGGCCAGTGAAACTTACCTTCCGCATCCTTTTCGCCGTCCTACCCTTCGGCGCCGCATCCTCAGCCGCATCCTCGAGTGTCGCAGTATCTTCATCCTCAAGAACCCTGATCGTCCAACCTAGCGCAACAGGTGGCATACCCCGACGCGAACCCAACGCCCAAGGACACTACATACCTGTCGGTCGCGGAGGCGGAGTGAATCGACAAGGGCAAGATCCTAGTCCACAAGGCTCATACTCGCAGCAAGTAGGCAAGATGGCGGAACAAAATCAACAACAGCAGCAGGAAGAGGTGCCCGACCACCCTCAGTTCAGACAACCGAGGAAGGATGAAGACGAGGGACCAGTCACACTAGGCGACGGGACTGTATTGCAAGAGAGCGATAAGCCGAGGAATCCCAAGAAGAAAATGTGGGAGGAGGATGTGGAGAGTGCGAAGCGTGATGAGGCGCAGGCGCAGGAGACACCAGCACAACAGGAAGGAAGTGGACAAAGGCGGAAGAGAGATGAGCTATGAGCTGTGACTGAGCAAGTGGTTACGTAGAGATACCTATGATAATGACCATCATCATTACTCCATCACCACTATCATCATTCCGTAAATCTTCCGTTTTCGTGGCATGTTGGGACCGCGCGCTAGCAACTCTGCACTATATAACCCGCTCTTTGACTCGCATCTTGTTTCCCTTCTTTCAACAACTACTAAAAGTTCTTCTACTTCAAAAGCAAAACAAAAAAAAGACATGTGTGTCTCGCTGGTTGCGCCCTGTGCTCGATTCAAAAAAACAAGTTTCGACTCCATGACTGCGTCGGTGCATTCCTCGAAAATTCTAAAAATCCCTGGAAGATATGTTCATGGCTGCACTTGTGCAGTGAACCTCCAAAAATGCGCAGATTCGCTTCATGTCTCGTCGAGTTGCCTGCTGAGTGTTACCAAAACTTTGAAAGCTGTTTGCAATGGCCTGTTCCTTCTTTCCCGAATTGAAGATATACCCTGGCTATGTCACAAAACTGTGCCTACTTTTACCCATGGCTTTGTTCTGGGTGCGTTCTAAAAACAAACTCGCGATACTCATGTTGGCGTCGCCCTTCTCCACGAAACGGGCAACGGAACCCAGCATGTTCGTCCTTCTGGTCAGAAAGATACGTGGAGTCGTTCCCATGGCTTTGCAGTTGTTCGCTAGAAAACGTTCGTGCAGTATTTGATGCTGTCTGGCTCGAGGTTCTGGGCTTCGCGAGCGTATAAAACCTACGGCTGTTGGTCTGGAGCTTCTTCCTTCCAACTACCTTCTCTAGATCTTTACTTTCAAAATGTACGGTGGTGGAACTCATGTGGTTTTCCAAAACTTCCCACAAGTTGGGCCATGTGCGTCTTCGCGCCTCTTCTTCCAACTCCAAAACAGTTGTTGTTTTGTCTATTTCCATGAAAGGCTTACGCTCGCTCTTGCCATGAATTATATCTCTGCTGTCTCAAGACTACATCACTCTAGAGACATGGAGCTGTCGCGTCTCGCTTGGGTTTCAAAAAGGTCGCCGGTCTCGTGCGTCCTCCATTGTTCTCAT